TAAATCACACTGTAGTGAGCATGTGCTATGTGCGCAGGAAAGGGGGCCCTGTTATGTGCCACCTGTTGCTCTAGCAGTCAGATTACAAAGCCAGTAAAGAATCCTGGGCACGTTTAGGGAACAGAAGACAAAAGAAAAATCTGATTTTCACATAGAAAGTTGAAAAGACTGTGCCATATAATTTGAGAACACACTTCTGAGTGGGCTGAGTCAGATCAATATGATAGCAACAAGTTGCTTACAGGACAAGTAATAACAATATCAACGATAATAGCAATCATTTGTATTTCTTAGAGCTTTACAGTCAACTAAACACTTCTGCTTAGTGTAAATGTTTGTGTCCCCTGCAAAATTCATGCTGAAACTTAATCCCTAGTACAATAATACTAAAAGGCGAGAATTTTAAGAGGTAATTAGGCCATGAAGGCTCTGCTCTTATGCATGGAATTAGGGCTTTATAAGTCGGGGAGGGGAGACCAGCTAAGTCTTTTGCCTTTCTGCCATGTGAGAGCACAGCATTTGTCTCATCTGGAAGATGTAGTCAGTCACAAGATACTTATCTTAGAAGGAGAAACCAGGCTTTGGCCAGAGATCAAGTCTGCTAGTGCCTTGGTTTTGGATTTTCCAGCCTCCCAAACTGTGAGAAAAAAAATTTCTATTATTTCTAAATTATCCAGTCTGTGGTATTTTGTTATAGCAACAGGAATAGATAAAGAGCACTTCTAATTTGTGATTCTATCTTCAAATGGTGCAATAAGGTAGACCAGGTCTTAGGTTTCCATTTTATGCTGGAGGAAACAGCAGCTCAGAGAGGTTAAATCACTTGCCCAAGTTCACCTGTCTGTGTGAGCACTAAAGCTTCAGCCCCTGATATATTTCTAGCCCTTGTCTTTCCCACAAGGTGGTTAGAGACCTCTTGAGTTCAGCCCAGCTCCCTCTCCCAGGGCAGCCATCTTCAGAGATTTATAGCTCCTGCCTGTGCCCAGGAAACTATGCAGGCATTCCATACACAATGATGGAGATGGGGTGATTAGTTCAGGTGAGGGTGGGTGGAACAAGAGGCCCCAGGTCTTGTGCGTGGTGTGAACTCTTGTTTCCGCCTCTGCCAGTGTGTGCCCCAGAACACAGCAGATGCTGGCTTCACCTGCACTGAGTCTTTGTGTCAGAAGGTAGTCATGGAAACTCACGCCCTTCCTAAGCTGATGAGTAGACAATTAGGTAGAATGGAGGAATCAAGTTAATTGCCTGTCATCCCCTCTCTGCTCTCTGTGTATTGATTCAAATTAGGCTTTTTTAGTTTTCTAATGTCAGCAGATACCAAATGATAAGAGCATAGACCTGGGAGTTAAGACCTCCAGGAAAAAACCAGTTCTGAGTGAATCCCTTAACCCTTCTTCGTCTCTGTTTAATTCTGACCCAAGCACTTATGAAAACACATCTCCTTGCCCGATATCCATTGGTTTCCAACCCCAAAGCCTCTCAACTGTCTTGATGTTAACCATCTCTGATGCCACATGCATTCAACGTAGCAATCCTCTCAGAGAAAAGAGATAATTCAAACCGAGTCCTGCATTTGTTGAAATCACCATGTAGCTCAGTGACAAGCAGTGAAACAGTGGATGGTCTGTACTATGCCTAGCAGGGCAGGGGTGGTACAATCTGGAGGTCTTCTGAGACAAATAGCACAATCAGCTCAGCTGTCATCTGAGCAGAACGCGGGAAGTCTTCAGAAACAAAGCCCCATCCTTTCTCATTGTCTCTCTAGGGCCCCTGCTTCATGACCAGTTGGAATTGTTTGGAATTTCCTGCGTGGTCCGTGCTTGTTCTTATCCTTTGCTCTTCAGAGGGTTGCTCTTCAAGCAACACTCTTTCTACCTTTTTCTTATGTCTCGACTCTGACAATACTTGTCTGGGAAGTCATCTCAAGACTGAATAGAGGACTTCCAAAGGCCATGGGTCTTCTTAATTATAGATAATAAGCATACCATCACAGTACACAAACATTCTATCTCCTTACTAGACTAAAAGCTTCTAGGAGGCAGTGATCACATCTTCCAGGATGATGTTTCTCAGCAGCAAGGACCATGCTTGACACATAGAAGGAGATCCATCATTGTTCAGTAAATAAATGATTGATTTCATAAATGATTATTAGACAGTAATGTCCTAGAAGAAGGAAATGTTTACTTAAGGTCTAGAATTGAATGTTGGTTGTCATTTATTTGGATTTTCATACTATTTGAGTTTTTAATCAAATAATGTAGGCAAATATGGACTTCCTCACGTTGTAGAATAATTGTCTCCAAGAACTCTGCTAGGCTTTGTTCAGGCCAACATTTCTTCTGAGATTTTTGACCCTGTTGGTTCTGAAAGTAGTGAGCCCTGAGGTTGAGTGTGCTGGTTCGTGGTGGGAACTGTGGAATAGAGGAGGTAGAATGAAGGGTCTCAGGATAAAGAGACTGAAATGGGTCCTTAGGAGATGTGTCTAGAATTCCTTTAGGAAGTGCTTCCTGGATCAGAAGAAAGTTCTTTGACGTGGATGTTGTTTGGGAAAATAGACACCAAGTAAGGGATGCTTCTCAGTTTAAGGGTGGAAGTGAACTGTAACTTTCACTATATTTCTATATGAAGTTTATATTTTTACAGGATTTTTGAGATTTAGCTCATTTGAGTGATTCTCCACCAGGATTAATCAACTGGGGGAACAATTGTTCTGGGCCTGAGTTCTTAATTATATAAATGGAGGAAGGAATAGAACCAAATACACTCTAAGGACTGTTCCAAGATTCTACAAAAAGAGATAATGGATTTCCCTGGCTACTGTTTTAGAAACTGAACATAGTGAGAGAGTGAGATTAATGTCTTTGGGTTCTAGGAACTTTGGGGTACAGGTGGATGGGGCAGGGTGAAATTTCCCCCACGATCGATCTTTGTTTCGTCTTTTTCTTCTATCCTCTTTTCACCCTTTCCTTCACTTTGGTGGTGATATGCAGTATTCCACAGTGGCTGATGGCATGGCTGGGGAATCAGATCAATGTACTTGTGAATCCTAGTTCTGCCACTTCATCACTTTGCATGTGACCTGGGGCAAGTGTTTTAACTTCCCTCTACCTCTTGCTTAAGGTTTTTATAAAGGATGAATACTTTCTTAAAGAAAGGGTACAAAATATTTGCCATCACTCTTCTTCATAAAGATACTATGTTGTTTATTTTTCTACCTTCAGAACTCTGATTTTGACACATAATTCTACAGTCTTTTGTCCTACTGTCTCACCTGTTTTCTGTTTCTCATTAAAAACATCTAGAAGTCATGAATCTTTACGTTTGCAAATTTTAATTGTTCAAAGATTCACCTGTGCTTGCACCATAACACATTGAGCTGGATGGGTACAAGTATTAGTGGGCAGACTGAATTTTTCTGTCGATTTACAATGTAAACATTATTATAGATAATAAGTGTTTTTTTTTTCTTTTTTGGGGGGTGGTATCGGGGATGGAACTCAGGTCCTTGTGTTGCGAGGCAGGCGGTGGAACCACTGAGCTAAATCCCGGGCCCAATAATAATGTTTCTTAAAATGCTGGAATTAAGAGAATTCAGGAATAACAGATAACTAATTCACTAGTGTCCCATATGTTTCCTTGTTCTAAACTTAAGGGTTAGAGGAATAAAGACTGGGCAAGAGAGGCCTTGGATTCCTTGTAAAGTTCTCGTGCACGTTAAAGTTTTATCAGCATTGCAACAGGTAACTATCGTGCCTGTACACTACTTGCTCTTAAAAGATAATTAATTGACATTCAGGATGAAAACATTTCATGAATTATCCATAAATTTTATCTTGATTATGTAATCAATAAAAAATAGCTTTTTGTCGGAGAGGTGAATGGTGAGAATATTTTAGTTCCTTCCAAGTACAATTCTGAATGACATTTACAAGTTATTTTTGTTCTACTTTTAATCTCAGTCATTGAAGTGATGATATTTAGGATTTTCACAGGATTTTACAAAGTATCCATGGAATGGCTCTGGACAGCCACCCTACATGGTGGCCTCAGCTCTGAGGTCTGCTGGTAGTCTGGGTGGGTCTCTACCACCCCTGGGCTGATTAGCAAATGAACAAACACAGGAGCAAGCAGTGAACTCCTTGAGGACAGGAGATATCCTAGCCGTTGTTATTTATTCAGAACCTAGGAGGTGCCTGACACTCATTAGTGAGTCTCAGGGTCTGAAAGTACTGTTAATCAGAAGATGAAGATGCCCCCTGGCTAGGAAAATCTTCTAGTATTATGCAAAGCATACCTAAGTAAGGTATGTTCTGAATCACACAGTCCAACAGTGAACTTTGAGCAGTGAGACTTGTCATTCCTCCTTAACTTTTCCATCTCGAATGACTCAGGATCTTAAGACTTTGAGATTGCTTTAGAGTAAGGGAAGAATCAAAGGGCCTCCTTAGCCAGAGTTAAAATAAAGGGGTAGCAAGCCTCGAAAATAAAACCACAGGTCCCAGTGTGGGACAGTGTCTCTGTTGGGTGTCAGGAATCCCCTCACCGACTTAGCCAATTAGATTCTACATCGAGGTGGAAGCACTGACTTGTCTTTCATATTTCAAGATACATTGACAGAAGAAAGCAACCAGGAGGGAGTGGATCTACGAGAGCACAAGGTGAGTTGTGCTGACAGTTGGAAGTCTGAAGGAAGAGAGACTGTCTGTTCTGCAAGACGGTTTGCTGGCTGGGGTTTTGAAGACCCCTGGAAAGTTGAGAATGATGAAATCTGTTCATTTATCCTTCAATATAATGAATCATGCCTCCAATGACAATTGTGTGTGTGTGTGTGTGTGTGTGTGTGTGTGTGTTGGGGAGAGTCATGCTATCAGCTT